CATCAAAGCAAAAGTGCCCTCGCTTGTCCAGAAATGCTAGGTTAATTTTTAATGTTTGAAAAAGTGCACCGTTCAGTTCACGAACTCAAAAAAGGTGTAAAACATTCTTCATACATGGAAGAAGAGTACAGAGATACACCAAAAGTAATTCTAAGAAAAATTCATTTCCTGGATCCTTTAAATGTTTACTTTTTTAGGCTTCCATTGTTAACGAAATGTGACCAATTGCATGCATTCTGCATTACGCTGAAGACGGGACTGCAAGATTACAAGAGGTCATTCTTGATTAATTAGGTATGTACAAAACAAGCAAATGAATTGCATATTCATGAAGCTATCGCCTAAATTTGAAGTCGCATATATGTTTCCATGATTAACGTTTTATACACAAATTGGGGCTATTTACGTGATGTTTGCAACACAAACATTTACGAAAGGAAAAACTGTGAATGTACACAACTCTAGCTTACTAGCCACTCGCATCTTACTATCTGTATATCATACATGTACATGCTTTCTTTACAAAAATGTTTACACCCTGAACTGATGACTTGAAACGAACAAACTCGGTGTATCAAAAATCAAATAAATTTTTATCCCCAAATCTTGCGGCGTTTGGAATTTTCAGAAAGTTATTCCCTATGGCCGAACCAGTTACCAGTCAAAAACGGCATTCACCTGATGCCAGCAAAACAACGTCTAGAAGGCTAAACTCTCTTGACTAGCTGAGCAATGTCTTGCTTTGGCAAGGGGCGTCACCAATTAGTTTTAGGGTGTTTTGAGAGGCACTGGCCAATGGGGGAGGCGCTAATAGGGGACACTCCCCGAAAGAAGAAGCCAGTTTTTCAAATGTCAAGAATTGGACAATTTCACTTCTTTGCATTCTCAAAAAAGTGTAAAACCCTCCAAAAGTTGCATTATTGTTTCCAGTTTTTGGGCCACAAAAGAATCCCCCCCTCCAAAGAAAAGTGATTCTGGACCCACTTTTAGAGAGAGGAAACTTCAGATGTAACAAAACTGCTATTAAGAGATGTATTACTTTTTCTTGGATTTTGCTTTATGCAATTTTTTTTTTTTTTCAATTTATCGTCGCCTGTTCTGCCTTGCCTGCCGGCTCAATCTGCTGATCCTCCTCTGGTTTCCAGCAGACCCTGTGCTGCCCAGGGTGAAGCCGCCACTGTTGGCCGGGGTGACACCTCCAAAGCTTGGGGCGGCCGAAGGAGCTGGCGTGCCAAAACCACCAGCCGCGCCTGCAACGGCAACAATTTTCAAAGAAGAACAATGTTTGCCAATTGCCAAAGAATCGATCCAAGCAGCACTACTGTTCATTTGTATACATGTATATCTGAAACCAAAAGCTTTCATAACACAATCCAATTGCATGCGTTCCCCTCAGCACGACCCAAGTTTTGTGGAGCGGCTGAGCAGAATATATATCTTGCTTAATAAATTTATGCGCTAAAGCGAAAATTGATAGGGCACCAGTCACCAGCTGCATATGTATACCTTTAGTTTGAGGCTGGTAACCTGTTTTTGCTCAGCAAATTAACTGCTTTCTTAGTAAAGTGCCCCATTTGTCAGGTCACAGAATTCTGCCTCCCTTCCACAAAATGATGTAGAAACATAACAGAACTTCCAAGAGCAAAGAATTGTGAATTCAATTTTATTTCACAAGAATACTGCCCAAAGAATCTCATTTTGCTGATGTCTGACCTGCACCAAACGAAAATGGCTGAGGATTGCTGGGTGTCCCGAACCCACCCACTGATGGGTTAGCTTGCTGACCACTGCTGGCGTGTTGGCCAAACTGATACACGCTGCCGCCACCTGGCTGGCTAGCTGCTTGTCCTGATGACAAGAAACGTTAACAAGACGCTCCGCCATTATAAGAGAATTTTCCTAAAACATGTTCCATAAAAAGAATTGGGACATCTGCAGTGCAATTTTGAGATGCTTGGAACTGTGGTAAGCTCGCACCAACAATACTGAAAGGTTTACCAAAAGAATTCTACATCATGCTGTGAGCATGAAACGGTTTTATAGAGAATCAGAAACTTTTTCAAAACTAAACAGTGTCTGCACCTGGGCCTTACTGAAAATGAGAAAAGGTGAGAATTGAGCCCAAAACTTGCTGTTTAACCCTGACCCTCCTCAATCCTCCAAAATCCTTCGGGCGGTTTTGGAGGATTTTGGAGGATTGAGGGTGAATGGCAAAAGTGCATGGCTGATTGTGAAGGATGCCATGAGTGAAGGTTGTGGGTTAGACCTTGTGTTGTTCCTGCTCAGTCATGTATAAATTCATTTCTTTCGAATCAACCGCACTGCCCAAGAATGCCATTCGCACTGCCTCAACATAATGACGGGAATTGCCGGAGGAATTTGAAGGATTGAGGCAGTAGGCACACCTCCAAATAACATTTTCAAGAAATTTCGGAGGATTGAAGAAGAATCCAATTTTTTTCACCCCCAAATTGGAAGATTCTGGAGGATTGAGGAAGGTCCCTAGCAAAAAGGGCCTAGGGGGTTAGGGTTCATACATGACAAATCTACGTCACACACAAAAAAATTCCTCGGTGTAAAATTAGTGTGTGAAAAATTTGGGGGTTTCCCTTACCAAAATTGAAGCTTGGCTGATTTGTCTGCGAGGCAGCTGGGGTGACAAAGTTGAACCCCACTGTACCGGGAGCAGGCACTGTGGATTGACCCCCGAATACGTTCTGCCTTGGTGTGGGACCTCCGAAAGTGTTCATTGGCTGGGCTGTGGCTGTGCCAAAGGAGGGGGTTTGGGTGGTGGGCTGCTGTCCAAATATCCCGCCTGTTGCGCCAGAGGTGGCCGTCTGGAATGGAGATGCTGCCACTGTCGCACCTGCTCCAAACACCGATGAGCTGGTGGTGGCGGCGGGCCTTGAATTGAACGTGAAGCTGCCGGTGGGGACTGCAGCACCGGCAGGCTGGCCTGTCATACTACTACTGCTGCTGAACAGAAACGCTGGCTTGCCCGGCTGCTGTTGCTGGCTCTGGGTAGGCTTGGTTCCGGCTGGAGCGCCAAATGCCGGCTTGAACTGAAATCCGCCGGTGGGGGCCATGCTGGAGCTCTGGGTGGATTGAGCGGAGAAGTTGAAAGCCGGGGTTGACGAGGGCTGGGTTGAAGCTGTCTGGCCAAAGGCAGGCGTGAAACTTGGGTTGGTGGCGGCAGCAGTCGAGGCAACCCCAAACACACCACCAGAAGCTGCCGAGGTTGGGTTGAACAACCCTCCCGAGGCTGCTATAGATGTGGCTCCCACCTGTCCTATACTGTTGGCTGCCCCACCAAATGACAACACAGGGGCTGTTGTTTTGGCTGTTGTGGATGGGGTAGCCCCAAACGCAAACGGGGTGCTGGCCTGAGCCTCTGTTTTTAATGACGTAGTTCCGAACTGTGTACCACTTGCATTGGTTGTGGTAACGGCCGCTTGAGTAGCTGACGGCACTTGGAACCCAGCACTGCTCTGGGTGATCTGCGTCGGGGCTCCGAACTGGAAGGTTGAGGGTGCCCGGCTGGCTGTCAATGCACCCTGAAGAGTTGAACCAAATGCAGGTCCTGAGGATGTGGCAGCCACCACTGGAGCTCCAAACCTGAATCCCGAGCTCGCAGCCCTAACTGTAGCCATGGAGGGTGCCTTGGATGGAGCAGCTGTCGTCGCTCCCAAACTTGAGCCAGCGGTGGTCTGGGAGAACGGCGAGGAGCTTGTGGTGCTGGCCTGCTGTGACGCAGTGACCGCTGAAGCCTGTGCCAGACTGCCTTCGGATGGTCGCAGCTGTGAGGCAACGGATCCCGCAGACAGCCCACCAACGGGGGTCCCTTGACTCAAAAGTCCCTCAAGGGTTTTTTTGGGGGCAGCCTGTCCGAGGCCTGGTTGGCCCGTGTCTCCCTGCTTTCCCAAAGTCGCTGGACTGGAAGTCGCAGTCGATGTGACTGCTCCGAGTCCAAACCCGACCGAACTCGCTGTCGTGACCTGATTCGGTCCGACCAGAATCCCCCTCAGAATGGCATCCTTCTGGGGCGCTCCAGATGATCCAAGTGTCTTGGAGGAATCCACCACAGTGAATCCGAGCACTGAAGAGGACGTTGCGGCTGGAGCGGCCTGTGCCGGGGATGCACTTAAGCTTTGCGTCAGCGGGGTCCCGAACGTTACCCCTTTGTGCAGGGTTACTCCCGTCTGCTGCTGAGTTGTCACTGCTGGGGCATTACTTCTCTGTGCTGGCACCTGTTGCTCTTTGCCCGCACTACCAGTGTCTGTCTTGGTGCTGGGCAGCAGCAGCTGGCCTGCCTGGACAGCTGCTACCGGCAAGGTGTTCATCTTGCTCAGCTGGAACAACTTATCGGACGACAACGTAGGGGCTGTAGATGTTGGCTCGGAAGAGACCTGCGGTGTCTGTGGTACCACCAGGCCCACTGAAGTGGATGGCTCTTGGTTTGCATGGATGAAAAGGAAAGCAAATAAACAGCATTATTGGATTTCCAGCTGATATGCAAAAGATCTACACAATAAGGGATGACACGGTAACCAAAGATGTTCTTAATCATCCCTTCACTTGACATGAAAGCTTCTATACAACTTTTTCGGTGTATATTAGCATCAGGGTGTTAACACGTCATCAATTCAACAATAATCTTATCCTCGGTCTCTACTAGTAAGAGTCATCACCACCCTCCTTAGAAGTTACGTACCTCTGGGGAGATTCTTCACCTCTTCGTCCTCGCCATCTTTGAGTGATTCCAGGATGTAGTTCACTCGCTGCTTGGCTCGGTGACGGTCCTCTTCGAGGTCAGCTGCTGTGTACTCCCCAGGAGGGCTGGAATTCTGACGAAATAAAGAAAAAAACACCAGGGATAATTATAATACAAAGACTAACCACTGAGACTTCATGAGAATTATGTAAGGTACAATTCTTTACCGGTTAATTCCAGGATATTTCACAAAGCTGGGAAGACCAACTTATGAAAACTATTGAGGAAAGGAAGAGAACAGCATGAACGTTTTAGCAATTTATACATTATCTTTTCTTTAAAACTTAATCTTCTTTTTAATTTGGTTTCCAAGAAATTGATTTTTGACTTTTACTTTAGCCATTGTAAGTTGTACAAAAGAATGTTAATTCTTCAGAGATGTCAGACAGTTTTAACCTGTAGTAATATTGTGCCATTTTAAGACTTTTTTATTACAATCCTTGGAGTATGCGGTAAATCACTGCTAATGTAACATCCATCAAGTGCATACATTGACATAACAGGGTATTTTCTCCACGTCATTTGATGCTAGAGTGACTTCAAAGACAAAGTAGAGTAAGGCATTATAAGGTCAGGCTGTATTCCATACCCGAAGCATCTGTCGTCCTAGAGACCTCAGTTTGGGCGTCTTCAGCCTTGTCGCTGTCAGGCTCTTCCCTGATGCCTTGGTCGGAGTCCCCTCATCTGATGAGCTTCTCCCGTCTTTGGACGAGGCCTCTCCAGCAACCGAGTCCGACTCCCCAATCCGATTTACGATCTGGGTGCCGTTCATGGTTTCCACGTCAGCAGGCTGGTAGGCTTTATCAGCACCATCTGCCATCTGGTCAGCGTCGTGGGGAAGAAGAGTCTTCTTGGAAGGGGAGCTCTCTGGCTGAGCTGGTAGCAGGAGCACCCTCTTTCGCATCATTTGCTGTGTGAAAAGTAAGAAGTTACAGAAGTAGTCAATCTATCCCTGTTCTCTTCCATGGATTCTAGAGCTGTCATTCTGGGCTACGCGCTTTGGAATATCCACAACATGACATTGTTTCAACAGTGGGAGGTCAGGTTCACAAAGTTAAACCACTTGCTGCCAGGTTGTTTGAAAAATGCAGTGCACATAATCAGGTTTTTCAAGATTTTCAGTTTTCAAAATTCTTTAAAAATTCATCATTTCAATTAATGGACGTTTACACCCACATGAATTACTGTCTGGTGGCCACTCTAGTCTGACAGACAAAATCTACTGACGCCTGAGTATTTCAGCCAGGCCTGCAGCCTTGTAAAAAGAGCCCAGATTGTGCAGTGTTATATAACTTTCTTTTTTTCACGAACCTGGCTCAGTGCACTGCTGACCTCTTTTCAATAGGGGCCAGAGTAGCGTGCAGTGGTGCTGTGTGGCTCATCGCTGCGGTGGTGGAGCACTTTTGTCCCCAGTGGTAATCCGCTCGCTCTAAATGCGCCAAACCGTGGTATAACGTTTCAAAACAAGGCTGGATTTTCTCCACTATTGAGAGTGAAAAAATGTCGGTAATGCCCAGCAGCCTGGTCTTTTGTTCCAAGAACGGTCTTTTGTTACAAGGCCCAGTTCCCTTTGTCCGATTTCGGAGACCCCAGCCACGCATATAAACACACGGTGCCCAAAACCGGGCTCCCTGGCAGGAAGTGGTTAAGCACCAAGAAATAAGCCTCTAAACTTCTAAAATATTCCAAGAACTTTCCTACTTGTTCCTTCAACAACATATTCTCAGTCTTTGAACCCTCATGCGCATGTAAAATATTATAAAGGGCCAGACTCTTTCTTCCTCAATCCTACAAAATCCTCCAAAAGCTGCTGAAGGATTCTAAAGGATGTGGAAGTGCTAACCTGACGAGCTGGAGTGAAAGGTCCTTGATTCACCGACTCAACAAATCAACAACACCCAACAGACATTTGGAGCCTTTTCCCTAATTTTATGCAAAGCCTTGGCCTGCACCATCAACTCATCTCAATTTCAGCCTGGTAAGTGCCGTCTGGCATGCGATAAACTAAGCAGGGAAGTCATGTTTTCTTTGAGTTCTTCCATTTTCTCTACATACATTAGCTATTGCAGCTCTTCGACTGGAGCTGACGGAGCTGTCTATGGCGTTACGAGGGGTCCTCGACTGCACACCCCTCGCACCTGTCCAGGCCGTTTTGAATCTGACCCGAGCTTGTTCTTCAGCTGAGCTGTCTGATTGGGCATCGCTGTTGACCAGGGTGGAGTAGTTGGATGAGCTAGCCAGGCTAGGGGTGCTGCATTGTGAACCATCATCTAACCGTCTGCCAGCAGAAAAGAAAGAAGAAACAAAACCAATCACTACCGAAAAGTAATGAGCATCCCTCAATGAAACCTGCTGTGACATCACTTTTACAGGCCTTGAATTTCATTTTTTTTTTCGGGCAATGCCATTTGGCATTGGTGGACTGGCTAAAATAAAGGGCACTAGCGCCAAACATGATGGCATTAATGCCATCGATGTACCAAAGTTATGGGCGATGATGCCATCCCGATTTTTTTTAAATATTGCACGAAAATCAATATAATTCATTCAGGCCAAAGAAACAGTAGGATACGCGTTATACTCGAACATGTCCGTGATAAGTGCTGAACCAGCAGCCCAGTGTGGAAAGGCTTCGGCCTGTTTTGACTGCAGCCGTTCTTTCCTCGGCATTTTGCTTACCACAAAAACTGGCCAGGCCGGTGATTTTGCACACAACAATGCACGTGAGAATCAGGGTAGTCCCGATCGACCGCTGTCGTGTATGTACAGTTCGGATCGTGGAGATTCGAGGCCTGCCTTTTTTCTACCAGCCGGCCGACCACGACAAAAACAGTCTCGCAGTCTAAGGTTGCCAAGTACCACAGGATTCAACAGTGATATTTGTTCAATGGGACTATGTGTAGCCCCCATTGTCTGAACATGGGCTATTTATTCAGCTCCTAATATTCGTGCAAAAAAGTGCACCAGACTTTCACACCTGTTGCACTTTGCTGCACCTGACAGGGCCAGGGATTAAGCGTGATTTATTGGAAACAAGTTGGGAACACTGGGCCCCGTATCCATCCATTAACCTGCGTTTGGCAAAGACGCCTCCTGCCACTGAGGACCCGACACTGCTGCTGTCGTCCTGCTCTTCTACGGCCAGCCTCTTCCTTCTCTCTTGAAGCGCAGCGATGATGGTGTCTCGGTGAAGTGGGCTCCCACTGCTGCGCTCCGCGGACAGTCGACGGAAACTGCGTAGTCAAGAATACGGCTCGCACGATAAAATGTACTTCAATGAAAATCTGGGATGGGTTTCATGCAATATGCTGTATGGTATTTTTAGTAAAGGTAATAAAGTGGGGATGAGGTCAAAGATAGAGTAAATAGATGCATCACTTTCAGGGAGTTCTTTCTGAATTCTTCAAAGCAGCTTAAAACCACACCTCATCAATGACAAAAGCGAAGCACACATATAGTTCATTCGATTTTCTTCCAATGCTGAACTTACCAACAGAAATTAATCGTTCTTCTCCAAAACTGAATACTTATTTCCTTGAGAACAGAGATTGCAGGAAACACCTCAGAGGGTGTTTGGTACCATGAACAAGCTGAATATAAGCACTCAGGAGAAGACAGGATGCCAAACTTACAGTGGACTAGCTGACCGTCTGTTGTCCGGCCTCGCTATCTTCACAGTGACGGGACTGTGCATTCTCACTCCGCCCCCTTTTCTGTGCGGGCTGAGCGAGCTACCGGCCAGCCCGTCTCTAAAGAAGATGGAGCTGGCTGGCAAGATGCCCATCTTGGTCTGAGCGTAGTCCGGTTGGTGCGTCGGGTAGTGGCGGCTGGGCAGGGGAAACATGATTGCTTTACTGCTGTGGTCTGATTGCAATGGAGCTCTGCTGCTGGGCCTGACGCGCTGCGGTGAGGATCTGCCAAGAATGACATTTCAAGAACTCATTATCAAAACATTATGGCAGTATCTGCTACATTTCAATTAGTTAACGACAACTCACTCGGTGGATTCCTGACAATTGAAACTCAAGATACAAATGAAGAAAGTTCCACTTTCTTTCAGCAAAATCAAGGCTTCTGCATGCCGTATTACCCTGTAAAAGTCACAACTCCTCAGAAAACACTGATATTACATGTACAAATGAACATTTAAAGTGCTTACGAGTTGAAAGCTAACACAACAGTATTCATTTTTCAGACCCCTACGCATGAAATAAACTCCAGCGTTTCAGAAAGAACAACAAGTATTTGACTGCAAACTTCCCTCCCCAAGAAAAGTTGAGATCATTTTCTTTAACTTTCTGAAGCTCAGAGAGGCCCCATAGTTTTGGGGGTAAGTACTGACGCAATCTGCAGCCCTGGAACTCTCAAGTCTCTGCTTGAAGGAGCTGACTAGTTCTAGGGGTAAGCCATCAGGAGATGTGTGCAGTATGTCGGGAAGTGTTCCATGTATGGATGCCGCTTGACACCCAGTGCACAAACCATATTAGACTGGTCTAGAAACTTCAACGTACTTTCTAAGTAAATGCGTCAATATTTTCACCGCTAAATTTGACTTTTTAGGACATTTTGTTGCTTTCTAACAGCTAATAGGCCACTACAGCCATGTCTGTACATGTACGTGGCACTCTCCCCCGGTAGATTTATAGATCCTGATGCAAAAGATCTCAGTCATAACTTTCCTTTAACCCCTTCACGGCAGGATTATTTTGACCGTGACTGCTGGGCTGTGGTATGCCCTGAATGGAGGGCTCTGTCCAGCAGCAGGCCCCACTGAACCAGCAGCTGCATGGTGAATAGACTGTATGTGTGGTATGCACTAATCCTCACACGATGTTGCAGTAGTAGCAGTCCTCTGTAGCGAAGGGGTTAATCAAAACAATATACTAGACATGCCAGAGCTGCAAATAACCATCCCAAAAGTTAAGCCTTGATACAAGGCTGGAATTACCCCCAGAATTGTGGGGTCCGACGTCCGCTCCACGCCCACGCGGGAGCGGAGCGGACGTCAGACCCCACAGTTCTGGGGGTAGGCAGGAATTGCAGGACCAACCAATCACACCACAAGATTGACTGCTGGGACAGGAGTGGACGGATCACCCGAATCCATCGATCCTGCCAAAAAAACCAGCACTGGTGACTGGAAGTGGAACTCACTTCAAAATGGCATTTTCCACCTGTTGCACAGGCATGACAGGTGAAATCAAAGGTGACTTAGTGCTCGGCAAAAGACTTGTGGTCAAGTTTGCATCTTTGTTCACGCTGGAGAAAACTGGCGAAATGAGTCCACTGGCTGTGGTCATCAGTGGTGTCCATGTCTTGGACGTCTTGAGTTCATCAGGGGACATCGGCACAAAATCATGGTTGCCCTTCAACTTTAAGACTGGACCAAAGCTTTCAAGATCACGTCCACTCAGCCCAGATTTTTGTACGAATTCTGTTTCTTTCAAAGTTGAATTGGTCCTTTGCGTAGGACTAACTGGAAGAACTCTCTTCCTGATTTTGAAATGTTCACTGGCATGACTGGCACTGGCAGTAGTCATGGTAGTATCATTCCCACTTGCAGTCCATTGATGACCTTTGACCCGACTTTTGTCAGGTTTGTCATGAATAGGCCTATTTCTTTGCGCTCCAATGTTGGCTTTGCTGGCGATATTCAGCACCAACATTGAAACTCCTAGAATTATACATATGAACAAGGAAGACAGAACACTAAATTTGAAAATGTACATGAAGCAAAGCGTTAATAATATGCCACAAAGGGCGAGCAGTCGACGTCTTTCCCACTCCATTGCTAGATCACTTACGAACGTCCGCATCGCACACACGCATGTGGTGAACTTCAGCTTTATTATTGCACAAACTTTATATCCAAATAAACAGTTAAATTAATAAATACAATCTGTAAAAACGTGTTATAAAATTCAAAAATATTCAAAAATAATTATTTATTGGTTATATAATCCCTTTAAAGTTATGATTATTTCTATATTGCGTACAAGAAATTTAAATTTGTTGTATGAGTTTAAAATTTAAAACTTTACAAAGGCGGTCCGGTTGTCATCAACCTCGTTCTCATTGGTACGATTTTGCCTCGGTGTAGTCGAGGTTGGTCAAAGTTCAATCGGGTAGTTTTCATATGAAATATAATTTAAAGATTTTTTAGGGGTGTTATCCAAAGACTGTGTACAGTTTTCTAAAGTTGGGCATAGGAAAATGGTGGGCTAAAATGGTCATTTCTAGGGAACTTGTCGGAAAAAAGGGATAATTACAACGCGTTTCATTGGCTACCGAGATCGAGGCTAGAAAAGAGCGGCCATTTTAATATTTCACTATTCATGCTTTAGTTTACTGTACTGTTTAGGCCTATATAGGAACCGGTCTACGAAATTCTCGACGAGGTAAATTGTGCCTGCCTGTGCTAATAAGATTTTTTTCCATTATCGGTGAGAATACTATTGGTCTTTCGTTGTAAATTAAAGTAAGCCTATGTTTTAGGTTCAAACAATAACAGAATTAGGCCTAATTAAGGAGATATATTTTTAAATTTTAGCTGGAAATAGTGCAGTGGTTTCCGTCTAGCGCGACTGTCAGTTGTCATCGTTCAGACAACTTACAAGTACATGTACATCATGTAGGAAGACTAGACTCCCCGACTGTCACTGTCCATGACTGTCTGATAAAAAAAAAATCATGAATTGAAAGTATGCTAGGCCTAAAAAACTAACCAACAACTGCAACTTCGCCTCATCTGCACACCAACACTGAGACTTGTCTCACTGAGACTTGTCTGAAAAAACAAGTGTTTTCTAAGACAATGCTTGGGAATTTTCTGACCTAAATTTCACTTTTTAGCACGTGTTAATTGTTATCACTTTCTGATGGCTGTTATACATGTTGTAAAATTTAAGGGAATTTAGTGTTGTCCTCATGGTATATGGAACTCTTTCCCAACTTTTTTCAACTTCATTTTGACATTATTTCAATCGTTAGCCTACTGTGACAATCTTGCTGTCAGTTTCAAAAACTAGCACTAGTACTAAAAGTAGTACTAGTAGTAGTGGATGATTCAAAGCTTACAATTAAGTTAATGATAAAAACGAATTTAACAACAGTTGTTTCATTCAGAAGTTACAAATGTGACAAATGTCAGTTACAAACAGGTGGGCCTACATATTTCTACTTTACTACTCGCCTGCCAGGCACATGTACATATTGTAGGCCTATTTTGATACAAGCATACAGTCGTGCAGTAGTGTTTACCAGAGTTAGTACCTGTGCACCAGTGTAGTGCTTGGGTCAAGGCCCGTAGTAATAAATCTGCTCTTTTTTGTCAGTTTTGCTGTAATGTTTCATTTGATTTGTTTGATTGTCCAGTGCAATGAATGATGGAAATTTAGTAACTTTTGTAAAAGGTTCAAAAATAGTTTCCCCAAAGAAGAGAAAACTGAATGAACGGTTCAATAATTTTGGATCTTTGCTGTGTACATGTAGTTTGAATTGTAAGTTACACACATGGTTGTTTTGTTTTTCTTACAAGTGGCTGCTAAAACTGTGGCTGGCCTTCAGTACAAAAATAAGAGTAATTCACAAAGCGTTAATCCCACACAGCTATCAGGACGGCAGATAAGAATACATGCACTACTGAGTACTAAACAAAAATACAAACCTATTTAAAATCAATGGGACAATTGCCCATTTTGAGCAAATTGGAGGTAAAATAAAAAACTAACCAAAAGTTGATATTTCTGCAAACTTTGGCTGTCCACACAAGTTGCAGGCAAAATGGAAGTGGTCAATATACACTCACATGTGTACACTGCCACTGTTACATTAACTTGGTCGACAGAGGTCAATTCACAGAACTGACCCTAGTCTATTGTGACCTTCGCATTGAGTTCAAGCTCAGACCAAGTTTTCCATGGACTTTCTGGCTTTTGAAATCTCACCAGCTTCAAACTGTTGGCAAGGACACATCAACGATGAGTTTTGAGTTCGTCCTGCCTCTCCACCAGAAGGACCTGCTGCAGAGCAGAGGAACCAGCCAGTATGTGGTGGAGGAAGTCTCCCCCGCCAGGCAGGTGCCCGACAGGGTATTTGGCTGCAAGACGGCCCTGCGGACTGAAGGGCCTTCAATGATCCTAGACCACTTTGATGGGTTCTACAGTCTGCTCAGGTAAACCACTGAAATGTCATCAATAGAGGCTTTGTGTGGTAGCCATCTTGCAGGGCAGTACTATTCCACAGATAAACATCCATTGCACATACCCTGTGGGACGAAAACACTGGCCTGCAAGATGGCAGACATGAAAGCCCTCTGTTGGTGGTGAGACAGTTGATGCCATCTTTCCCTTTCCCCATCAATCTCTTGTGTATTATTCTGAAATTCTTGTGGCTCTGTTATGCAGGCACTTCAACGAGGTGGAGCAAGAAACAAAAGAGGAGGCATGGGAACTTCTGATGAAAGGTACGCTTTCACTTTTATCGCTTTATCTAAGTTCTTCCGCTCACCCTTTCGCTCGGCGTTGTGCTATGCAGAAGAGAATAAAGAACTTCCCAGGTGCTGCAAGATTTCAGTCAGTGCTGCAGTCGAGTATGGCACACAATGCTCACCAGAAAGCATCACTAAGAAATTGAACATCCAATTTTTTAACATTGTTACTTTTGTGTGACTTTGAAAACCCTTAACCATACTGGCATTAATAAATGTGCAACTCTAAAAACTTGTTTCCAAGTTTTGTTTTAGACTGAGAAATCCCCCTTTTTTGTCTTTTGCCTAAAATTTTGACTCCATCAGCTCAGCAGCGGCTGTGCACCGACCTCTCCTCTGCCCTGGACCAGACCGAGGCCCACGGCAACACCAAGCGGCACCTCAACACGCTCAAGATGCTGTGCTACTTGCTTTGCCAGCTGGCCGAAGCGTTTGAGGCCGAAGCCTGCAAGCCGTCCATCGACACCACGGTCAAGGGAGGTCGGGTGAGTCTGGAATTCTGTGAGTTTCCTCTCCCCCCCCCGACTCTCCAAAGTTTTGAAACGTGGCTTGAAATATTAGGTACGATTTAATCAACTTGACTGTTGGCCTTCACGATGTTGTCCGTGATGGTCAAGTGAGTGAGGACATCATCTGGTAGTCGTAATGCCCTGGATAAATTTAAAAAGCTGCCAATTCAAAAAATGGGGATAATGTAATAGAAAAGGAAGGAGAATATCGCCTTCCAGGCTTGAGACAGAAAAATTAATTTTCAATGGGCTTTCTGTTTGCATCTGTCAAGTAATTCACAGCCACATTAGTTGACACTTTCAGATTTTAACCATAAGGCGAGCCAGTTTATAAATAACAGCACTCATTTGATGTAAACATTACATTGTTGTCACAGCAACTCAATATCCAAACCATAAGAAAATAGAAATCATTGAACATTTTATAACACTCTCATTTGAATGTTCACGTTCATACCTGAACAGTTCGAGTTCGCTTTAGACAGAATCAAGGTCAAATCTCGCATGCTTAGAAACGGTGACCCGCGATAACCTGGGGGATCTAAAGACTTTAAACTTTGCGTAGGATATTCAGTCTGATGTCTTTGGGTATCAAGTTTCATAATTGAGTTCATTCACCGAGCTGTGCTCTCTATTTAAGCAAAACCTACAATGTAGCTGGCATTTGATATCGCTGGTTTAAACTTTGTCCCAACGGGGCCAGGGTCGAGCTAAGAGCAAGAAGGCGGCCGCCGGCTGGGACTGGGAGGCAGAGAAGGAGCGCTTCCTGCAGGGCTTGCTGCACCTCCTGCAGCTGGAAGTCTGGAGGCTGTGGGACCCGCCCATCGTGGAGGAAGAATTTGTCAAGTGGGTTGCTCATTTTCGATCTCTGCACGGTCTTGTTTCCTGGCCGTTCTTGCCTGTTGGAGTTGGGTCGAATGTGGAACTTGTCTCTTGAAGGCTGCTCGCTCATAAAAATCAAACCTTGCATTTGAGGGTGACATTATCTGGAAATTGGCCCGTTGCGGTAGAATTGCGTCACCGCAGCTTGTGAAATATTGTCCAGTTACATGATATATAAAAGGGACATGGAACAGGCAAAATCTGAGCCCAGCAAAACTATACGTACAGAATTCCATTGGGTTGTCTGAGAGGCGTGGCTAACTCACAAACAGCGATAAGTCAATTGTTCTGGAGAATACATTCGTCTGTTTTTCCTTGCACTATTTTCATACAATTGAACTTTGCTGGTGTTAGAAAACAGAACAGTTAATTCTTAAGGTGTGACGTTAAAGAATTTGTAGCTCAGTAGTTACGTTCTCGTGTCAGTGTCTAATACCTCAGCATTTGTTGGCTGATTTTGCTGAACAGTCTGGTCAGCTGCTCTTGCTACAGACTTCTGGAGAACCCATCCATTGGGCGGAGCCCCGGGACCAAGGAGGCATTGTTCGGTCTACTGGGCCTCCTCATCAAGAGATACAACCACACTCTTGGTAAGAGGCAACATCAACAGAGATCGATTTTCGGATCAAACACATCCCTAGAATGAAGTTAAGCGGCAGTGGCTCATCTTTGAAACAACTGTCCATTTTGTTCTCATTATTGAAAGAATTCCTCAGCCCTCTCCCACGAAGGGTGGTAGGGACATTTCTAACATGCTGGCAGTGTTGCAGTCGAGAACGTTTTGAGTACCTAGGTTCTGTGCCAAAGACTGAACTGGGCAAGAGGGAATGAAGCTTAGCTGCAGTACACAGGCCTTCGATGGTAAATGCACAAAGATAAGATTACAAACTAAATGGAAGACTTTAGACACTCCCAGCTTTGTAAAACTTAGGCTTTAAGAAGAAAAGTACTCGGAAAGTACTCGGGCAAGTACTTTTTGAATACTTCTGCCCTAAAAACTTGATTTCTATTTAACGGTGATAGTCTGAAGCGGTCAGTTTACTTTGTAATCTTACCTTTGTGCGTATACCATCAAATGTCCATATACCTCTGCTTTAATCCCTCCAAACTAGCTAAACATTGGGCAGAGAACTTGATGCTTGAAAAGTACTTGACTACAACAGTGCATGCAGGTGCCTTAAATTCCTTTTACACTAGTTGACAGCATGTCTCCGGGTGGTGGTGGTGGGGGGGGCTGCCCCTCGCTTGATACGCCACTCGACATGAAACTTGACTTAACTCATATTGCCTCCTCCCCCTCCCATCTCTGTTTCCATGCAGGGGCCAGTCTGAAGATTATCCAGCTCCTGCAGCACTTTGAGCACCTGGTCAGCCCCATGTCTCAGGGCGTGCACGCTATTGTCACCCAGTATGGAGTCAAGAGTATTGTCAGTGAAATCATGAGGTATGCACCAATGATCAAGTCACATATGGGAATCGAGTTTTTTTTTTTTCCATGCATTGTTTTTTGCCTTGTAGTTCCTTTACAGACAAGTGAGATCTAAGTCAGATGTCACAGAAACCTTCTGGTCAGCTTTTGATATAACGAGCACCGTTGAAACTAAATGTGTTTATGAAGAGCACACATTTGACGTCCCATGTCACTGGAATTCTCTCGTGTGTTTTCCCAGTGTTTTTGTAATGAAATTAATGACATCATGACAAGACAATTTGGCTATTGCCAGCAACCTTGTTGAAGAGGCTGGCAGTAACAGACAAGTCCATTGACATTTTTTCTTTCAAAACTCTGATGCTGCTTGGATGCAAGTATCGCTGATCTTTGATTCTGTCTGTTTCCACTTTCGACAGGGAGATTGGCAGCCTGGACCCTCGGGACCTTGCCCGGGATAACAGTGGGACGCGGTCTTACGCGGCGTTCCTGGTGGAGCTGGCCGAGAAGATCCCCGGACTCATGCTGCCCAGTATCAGCCTGCTGCTCTGCCACCTGGACGGAGAGGTACCACTACCCACTAAAAACCCCCTTAGAATATTCATCAACAACTTCAAGTTTTCTTGACTCTGAAACTCGGAGGGAAGAATTTTATTGAGATTTGCAGATTCAGGTCTTTTACAGAGGTTTGCCATCTGTCAGGAAACGAATCTTCCAAATTTTTCATAACTGCATCAGTGTTGTAGTCCAGACCATGCACAAGACCAGACACAAGACCAGGCACAAGACCAGACACGAGACCAGACACAAGACCATGCACAAGACCAGACACGAGACCAGACACAAGACCATGCACAAGACCATGCACAAGACCAGACACAAGACCATGCACAAGACCATGCACAAGACCAGACACAAGACCATGCACAAGGCCAGACACAAGCAATAGTGTGAACAATGACAAAGGAATGCTTTCGTTTCAGTTCATTTGAATAGATTGTGACTTGAATTCGGACTGGAGGTCTTGTGTTGGTCTTGTGAAGGTCTTAAGTGGTCTCGACTACAACACTGAACTGCATAGATTGTATGGAATCAGCACAATACGTGGCAAAGTGCACTGTTATTGGTACATGTACTGGAAATGCCCTGCTCAATTCAATCCTGAAAATCGATGCATTTGGTTAATTTCGGGCAGTTTCATTTGAAAATGGCAAAGGCTGAGCACTGAAAATCACTCATGATTAAACGTTTATTACATATCTTGCCCCTGAAAGCGAGACATGCTTTCTAAAACCACGTGTCATTGAAGGCGGTCAAATTGTTCGAAGGCATGTAACTTTTCCTTGGATCGGCGGGTTTCCTCATTTGTTACTTTACTCTCATGCCACTGAAAATTGAAAAACACTGTACAAAGCCATGTGAAGATTGGAATTTCCTCATTTCTCGTCCAAATCCCAGTCGCATGCCTGTGTTGAGTAAAAAAGTGTCGGCCGGTCCACTATGCAGTCCAACATGGATTCAAGCCCAAATTGTAGAGCCGAAGGACAAGGCGTCAGTGCATTACAAACCTCATTCTTTGAATCTGACACATCCTGTGTTTTTCCTTGTACTCACACAACCAGTCCTACACGATGCGTAATGGAGTCCTGGGTGTGCTGGGCGAAATCGTCATCCAGGTGTTGAGCAAGGACGGACTGGACAGGAAGGCCAAGAGCACCAGGGACCAACTGCTGGACAAACTAGAGGTCGGTTGATTTACTAGAGAGCAATTTTTGCAGCTGCTCCCCCGGTTATGAAAATGAAAACGGTTTTGTAACTGTTTATTGGCAGTCTTGAAATCAGTACAAAAGTGCCGACAGAATTTATTGAATCCTGATAGTTTGTTAAAATGAGATTTAGTTGGACAGAAAATAAGATTTTTAATTTGGGTATCCCGACAAAAAGTCGGGGAGAGCTTGTATATAAAAGCTTGTGAGAAATCTGGAGTTTCCAAGAAATAAACGAGACTGACGATATTCACAAGTAGTTTTTTGGGGGGGGGCTTCTTCTTCCACAGGACCACATCCACGACATCAACGCCTTCACCCGCAGCCGCGCCCTGCAAGTCTGGCTCCACCTCTGCCGGGAGCGGGCCATCCCGCTGCCTCGGCAGCGCAGCGTCATGTCGCTGGTGCTCGGCCGCCTGCAGGACAAATCCAGCATCGTGCGCAGGGGTGCAGTGCAGCTGCTGTCGGAGTGTCTGACCAGTAACCCCTTTGCCGCCAAGGTATGCCTTCACTCAGCCTGTATCGATCTTGAGCAGAAACACCTCCTCGTTGGTTGAAAAGGGCCATTTGGGTGGGGAGTGTACATTCCGTTGGTAGCCAGTTTCGTTTTTCAGTGACGATCACGTTGATCGGCATTCCCTGTCCCTTTCTCTCTCTCTACAGCTGCCAGTCGACGAGCTGGTCACCACGCTGGAAAAGGAGAAAGAGAAGCTGAAAGCGATGACACCAGACGAAGCGCAAGATGTATCAGGAGGTCAGTCTCGTGACTTCCTCTGCACTCTGAGCCCAAGTTTCATAGCACTGGATTGTGGACTACTGATCTCTCTATAGCTTTACATGAGCCTGATTTTTTTTGCCCGTTTTGGTGCCAGCGAGTGCATTATAAAGCCCTGGATTTCATTGCATGATATTGTAGTTGAGTGAAGCTTAGGAAGGCTATCATGGCCAAAATTCCTTGGAAACTTTGTGATAGCACTTCACTCAGTGTTTTTGTCCCAGTTTAGTGGATCAACGGTTCACATTTCCTTCATGTTTTTTAGGTGCCCCAGGGAATGTTCACAGCTGCAAATGTGTCCGCCAATATGGTCGATTCACAATAGTGCGCCTCCAAGAGTTTGGAACGCGTTGACCAATCACAGTGCGCGAAATCTGTTGACCCTTTCCAAACGCGCATTGGGTCGACAGATTTCACACACTGTGATTGGTCAACGTGATTCAAACTCTTGGAGGTGCACTGTTGTGAATCAACCGTATTGTCAGTTACTCATCATAATTACCACAGTTTCAAACTAATTGCTCCTTTTTGCTGTCTGGTAACAGATATGTGTGGTAAGACCGAGGAGATGTGGCAAGCCATGGAGCCAGAGGTGGCAACCGTCGTCAAGGAATTCCTGGAGGAGGCAGAGGGCGATGACAGGGTGGAGATACCCGAGGATGCGTCTGTCGAGAGGTATGCCGGATGCCCACAAACGAGTCGTACCATTAAAAATGCCGGATTTTTGTCCTGCAGTGTGACCTTCAAATGAGTCAGGAAAAAACTGCAAAACAACGTTTGAGGGTTTGGAAGCTTTTTTTTGAACGGGAGTTTAAAGGAGTTAATTGAAACTGGAGGATCCAGGACTGTTTGGCTTAATGATGTCAGTGATTGAATGTGATGTGTTTTGAACTTTACAGAACTTTCAGTTTTTGAGGTCGAATGTCATACTGAGTCTGTTTCAAGCTGTTCCTGCCTTTCAGCGTTTTCCAATCCAGTCTTGTTCACTCGCCTGTCTAAGGCCTAGTATGTTTTGATGGCAGCTTGATTGCCGGTAACGAGCCACTATCTCTAGCAGTGGGTTGCACGTCTAGTTTGTGATTTTTTCCCAGTGTTCTGACAAGCCTCCGGGAGCTCCTGGAGAACTCCCAGCACCGCCAGGCCCTGCGTCTCCTCCAGGCTGCCAAGGATTGCTGGCCGGACTGCCAGTTCCTCATCCCCTCACCTCCCGTCTTCAGGTGCGCAGGTCAAATTCGATCGGCGAACATTTTACCCGGTCCATTCTCCCCCGATGTAAACCCGTACATAAACTGTATCCTGGGCACTAGGCAAAACCGGCCAGTGGTCATCAAATGGCAGTTGATCAAACTCGGCCCAAGATTTCATTGGTGCTAAATTCATACTTGGCCCACTGTGATTTTCATATTTCTCAACTTCAGGTTTTGGTTGGTTTTTTTTGTAAAGAATGAGGTCCTTGCCTCTGTGACCTGCTGATTTCTTTATTAAGGGAAGTGTCCTGCCCAACAGTACACAAAGCATTGTCCCCCTCAGATCACAACACAAGATGTGGCATATTTGTATTTTCCGTAACAAGTCAGCCCTTTTATCCGCATCAACTGGCTGTGTCTTACAATGACGTGCATCGATAGGAAGTAGCTGTAGCCCTCTGGATTATAAGCACATGTGTCACATCCAGCCTTATCCAAGCAATTAAGAGATGGCTCTCTGGCAAAAACCTCAAAGCTAAGTCTGACCTGTGATCAAACAAAAAATGTATACACCTCTGTTCTGCCAGCGTCATATTACAGACCAGTTACTGGCAGTGTGCGCGTATGACTCTGCAATGTTTGCATCAACTTGTTAGTTTGTCCTTCTTTCAGCCCCCTGGACGGTGACGATGACAGCGATGAATCTGAAGATCCTGGGGCCCAGCTGCTCGCTACCCTCCAAGCCGTCTACTTGGGTAAGGCGCAGCACTGTTCAGTTGCTCCCAGGGACAGCTTGAATGGCTGCCTCTGTTTGGCAGGCCAGTGCTTAGGCCCTAAGCCAACTGCCTACTCGGATGTTTCATTTTCTCCATGCAGGCATGAGACTGGCAATGATGCAAATAGAGACAATTCGCCATCCGCCTCGAGCTGAAGCACCCCCTCATCGGTTAAAAAAGAGCCATGTTGGTGGGGAGTGTTCGTTTTGTTGGTAGCGACGCGACCGTAACGCGTGCATTTCCTAGTCATTCATGAACCAGCGAGGTTCAGTTCCGACCAAAGGAGCCTCCATTTGAAAATTGCGCCCTCTCTTGGTCAAACTTGGGCTTATACTATAAAATTCTTGCAATATGTCATGGCAACAAGTCAACATTGCACGATGCTACTACATAGCTTAGTCTCCTCGTGGCTACTGGATGTTGCGGTTATCAATCAAAATATTCTCTCAGTCCACTGACCGGCATCGTTCTCACTCACTGGATGTTTGCCAACTTCAGAGTTAGTAAAGCATTGCATACTTATCAGTAACAAGTTGCAATCCGGAAAGAAATCTTATAGCCATTAAGCCCAACCCCTGAGGACCATTAAAGTTATGCGGAATCTCGTTGGACTCGGTATAACTGTGACCATATCGAAGGCAACAAGATTCCATAAAATGTCATCGGGGTAACGTATTGGGGATGTAGCGTGAATTATTGTGCTTGTGTTGCTGGTTAAGCGTTTAAAAGAACCCTGCGTATTCAGCATTACCATACCTCCACTTGACTTTCAGGTGAGAAGCTTTCTGGACCTGCAGACTCGGACCCAGAGGAGGCACCAGAGCAGCGCAACGTGAAGGAACTGACGGGGGAGTCGGCCCCATCGGCTGCTGCAGGGGGCGGCGACTTGGAGACCGGAGTAACTGTCGTCAACGAGCTGTCCAAGCAGCAAGTTCTAGTCAAATACTTGCAGGTGAGCCCAATTGGCGGTCCATTCAAGCCGGTTCCAATGTCTCAGAGATGCTGAACTGAACTGGATCCTGGAATTTGGCGGGAAACCTTGGGTTCTGGTTTCAACACCTCATGCAACACCACACACGCCGAGTCACACTACCCGCGAATCCTGTTCCACGCTCCACCGCTTCCGGACCACCTTAATAACCAGCCATCCACTCCAGTCCGGCACACTCTCCTGAGGACGGCCAGAGCACACTGGCCAAAACGTCGAGTTTATACTCACCGGTTCTTTTAAGAACCACACCTCGTCCAAAAGAGATTGATTCCCTGGTGTACCCGCAAACCCATTTCTCAAGTATTGTATGCTTTGTGATGGGTCTGGCTGGTAGTGTGCTTTGGCAAATTTGCGGTCTTTGCTGCGCCATTGAATTATCTTTGTGTCAGTCCAAAGAGTTTTCAAATTACTTTATTGTTTAAATTACATAGAGTAGCTTGGGAATGTTAGGAGGAAATCTCAAAAGTTCACTTTCTTTTTATCTCGACTATTTTTTATTATGGAATACAACATTCTTCTGGAAATGAATAGGTTTTCTTTGACAGAAACTTTGTGAAGGTTCTTCTGTAGAGGAAATAGTGCTGCTTGTAAATGATGTACAAAACACATTAACTTTGGATCGAACGTTAGCAGATTTCACAAATACACATGAAAGTCGAGGTTTACTTGCTCTTTCCTGAAAGATTTCTCTAAATTTTTTCTTTTTCTGCCTGGGGTTGACTCCGATCAGGACTGTGTGGCCTTCGCCAGCCAGATCCAGCAGGCTGTCCCCATCCTGTGTGAGCTTCTCAGCTCCAAGGTCACCAGCGACGTACTGGAGGCCGTCGAGTTCTTCGTCCGGGCCCAGGAGTTCGGTGTGACCAGCGCGGCCAAGGGCGTCCGCCAGATGATGGTGCTGGTCTGGTCCAAGGAGCAAGGGGTAAAGGAGGCTGTGGTGGCTGCCTACAAGAGGCTCTACCTCAGCCCGCAAGGCGGCACCCAGAGGTTAGGCACTGAAGAACTTGTGTCACCCCCAAATTCAGAGAGCAGTCTTGCTTTGGCAAATCTGTTAAGCGAAATTCAGCAGGGAGCCTGTCATGGGTTAAATATATTTACCATGACTTTTGGCTGGCAACTTGTCTTTTGCAGTTATCCTTTGTGATGAGTAAATTTCAAAGGTCAGCAGCTCCCCAAAATTGGCTGGTGGTCAGCCGGCAGATTCCAGTTAGTATTGAAAGTGCTGTCTTGTATTAAATACTTTTGCCCTGTTTCTGTGGTTGGTCTTTATTAGACTCTGCTGGCCTTGAAATCAAAGGCCTAGCGTTGTCTCTTCACACAGTGTTTTAGCTTACTGTCTTTTCTCTGAGCCTGACATCCTTGACAATCCTTGTTGCGCAAACTTTATACTTTCTCCCCTCTCTGTGCCAGAACGCACTGCCCAGGTATTGTCAAGAGTGCAATTTAACACCCACGTCTCTTCGCATAATTTTTATCGTCTTCACATTTCTCTTGTAAATTCCCGATATCCAGAGCGCGCTGCCTGGCCATCGTCAAGAACCTGATGGCCCTGACCTTCTGCGCCAGCCTGGGCCAGCTGACCTCCCTGGAGGAGCTGCTGGCCGAGTTCATGCGCAGCGGCGACCTTCCCGGCCAGGCCGTCCAGCTGCTGTGGGAGTACTTCACCAAGAAGCATGCCAACACCACCGACGAGGAGAGCCGGGCGGCGCTGGTCATCATCGGCATGGCTGCCGGGTAAGTTGAACAGGTTTCTCTAAAATCCGTGGAATATTGTGCTAGGCAGTGGCTGGTCTGTAGAATCTATACATTATTAGGGTAGGTGAT